AACAGCACATTGCACTGCAATGCATCAGCACGAATGAGCTTAAACATTCTTTATAATGACTGCACTGTTTTAAGCTGACAATGCAGCCCCATCTTTATTCCCCCATGGGACCACACCACTTTTACGGTAAACAGCCTTATCTTTCATTCTGCTCTTCCCAGTGTTTCTTGTTTAATAAAGATGATGAATTAGTGACAGGCTGAGCCCCCGCAAGGTAAAACTGGTCCCCAATGAACTCTTCTTTTGCCAATAATTCAATGAGAAATGTTGACATAAAGATTACTTAATCTAGTTCTGTATCAATATATATAATTTTTATCTCTGGACCAACACATGCAACAACTCCATTTCTGGAGATACAAACAGAAAACTCCATCTCTTGTGGAGGCAAGGCTGCTAAAGAAGCTACAAAATGTGGTGCAGATGAGGGAAGAAGTACCTGACTTCATGCTTTCTTCAAATTTAATGATGACCTGAAATAGATTTTTTTTTCCCTATAAAAACCTCCTCTCATTTAAAATACTTTTCATCTGAAACTTCTTGGAAAGTGAACAGTTTCCAGAGGTTTAACGTCATTATTTAACTGCATCTGAGCCCCCAGAAAGGGCTCAAACACCAAGATCACAGGTACATCCTTCTCTGATCTGATAGATATTGTTATCATTGCAGGCAGACAAAATTTGCTATTCAACCCTTGTGTCCTGCCTCTTCAGCCAAACCATTTTTGTTCCTGCGACTCAGGGAATTAGCAGTCAGTAGAAATGCAGATCATCTGAAAGACTTCTCTGGCTCATGAATAACACATGCCTGGTCTGTGACCATGAGGCCAAAAACCATTCCAGGCTGACACAGGCGACAAGTGATTTTGTCATCTTCATGTGTTCAATGCAGCTCCTCAGCAGCATAAGTACTTTTTCTTCTTGTGCAACAGAAGAAGGTAAGAAACAGAAAAGTAAGGAAGCATTTGTTATACATACCATACAGAAAATGGGAGAGAGAACATGGAAAAAGGAAAAACAGGTATATAGAACCTGAGCACAGTTACTCCTCTCACCTGCCTTCCTCTTGCATTTTTCAGATGACACACAAGTCTAAATAGGCTATAAATATTTAAGGTAAAAATTTAAAGTGTGTCATAATAATACAACAAATCTTGCAAGAAAAACAAGACCTTTCTAGCCCTAGAGCAGACTCCATCCTGTCATAAAAGCCACACTAACAGCTCACTTTGAAGGCTTACAATATCACCAGAGGTTATACGGAGACAAAAAGGAACCAAAAATCACAATAATTTGTTCAATGACAGGCAACTGGGCCCCACAAAAGGAGTGAAGACAGATTGTAACTGCAGGCTCCTCAGCAGCTGCACACACACTGGCTTTTGTTCTGAATGTTACTGAACCAGAAGATTTAAAGAGACAAATTATTTCTCAAGCAGCAGGACAAGGAGTTCTGATCTCCAGCTGGTTAGTGGGTAAGTAACCAAATCAAACAGGGTGTGAACTCCCAATATTTTTTTCCTGCAGCTGAGAATTTCATAACCTACCTAGTTTTGGGCAAGTGCAGGTCCTGCACCTGGGGAGAAATAACCCCAAGCACCAGTACAGGTTGGGCACTGACCAGATGGATAGTAGCTCTGCAAAGAAGGACCTGGGGGTCCTGGTGGGCAACAAGCTGTCCATGAGCCAGCAGTGTGCTCTGGGGGCCAAGAAGGCCAGTGGAATCCTGGGATGCAGCAAGAAAAGTGTTGCCAGCAGGTCAGGGAGGTGATCCTGCTCCTCTACTTAGGCCTTGTGAGGCACATCTGGAGTACTGTGTGGAGTTCTGGTCTCCTCAGGACAAGAGGGAAATGGAGCTCCTGGAGCAGATCCAGTGAAGGGCAGGAAAGATGATGAAGAGACTGGAGCACCTCACTTACAAGAAAAGGCTGAGGGAATTGGGCCTGTTGTGCCTCGAGAAGAGACTACTGAGAGCCCTCAGCAATGTATCTGAAGTGGGTGCCAAGAGGATGGATCAGGCTCTGCTCAGTGATGGAAACCAATAAAACAAGAGGCAACAGGCAGAAACTGATGCACAGGAAGTTCCACCTGAATACCAGGAAGAACTTTCTTGCACAGTGACTGAGTACTGGAACAGATTGCCCAGAGAGGTCATGGATTCTCCCTCACTGGAGATCCTGTACCATGTGCTCTGGGGTGGCCCTGCTTGAGCAGGAAGGTGGGATCAGATGATCCACTGTGGCCCCTTCTACCCTGATTCTGTTCTCTGTGATTCCTTGGAGTTTTCACAGAATACAACTGAAGCCACCCCACAGCCTCTGTCTTCTAATTGGCAACTTAACTTTACAAATACAGAGGTATAAAACCAGAAAGTCTTTTGTCAAACAGAAAAAACTGGCCAAAAGGATGACAAAAGCATTTTTCATTGGGGAAAGTGACTAGTAGCTGCCATCATGATGATATAGTTCTCTATGAAACCCCCTCAGAATGAGCAGCCTTTAGACAAAATCCACAATGAGGATGTGATTCTTTCAGGCACAGGAGTCACTTTGTTCCATTGTGAACAAAGAAATCAGGCCAGGGCTGCAGTGAGGGGAAAGCCACATTGGTGTTCTTGTGCTGACACAACTATAGAGCAGAAAAACTTAACAAACTGCTTGTGTGGTCTATGAAGTACATTGTAATTAACCTCAAACAGAACAAAGGGCTCCCAAATGGGATAACGAGGAAACTGCTCAGCATTACACATGGTCCAGGAAAACTATAGGTAAGCTACTTTATACTTAAGCTTCTCTAGTACAAAGTGACCTTTAGATTGCTGTAGAAGAAAAGCAGACGTGACAGTACAAAACAAAGGCCTGTAGCAAAGGCTAGCTAGAAGAGATCCATGAAATTTTTCGCCCCCAGCCAGTCATAATACATGTTTTCCATAGAGAGTTTGCTGTGTGTTTTCCCAATGAAATCCTTGTTTGCCAAAGCAAACATTCTCACAAAACACTTCTGCTTTAACAAGCATCTCCTAACACCTGGGCAAAGCTCAATAGGTTTTCTGCTTGGCTTCTGGGAATGTGCTCTGGACATCAGAGCTTCCAGGCTGCCTTGTACAAATCTGAAGTGGGAAACTTAAGAGAACACTTCAGAGATCCAAACATCCAGTTACCTCTCCAAAGACCAATTTAGTGTCTGATTTTCTGATGGGGAAACATCTCTCTCTCTCTCCCAGTAGATATATAATAGCCCTGTTTCATGCCAAATATAGAGCTATTTGCAAGAGTCAGGTATCGTGGTTATCAGTCTTGTTTTCATAACACCCCAGGAAGCTGCTTGAAACATTACCAGGCAAAGTACAGTGCTGCCATATGCAGGATTAGAGGCTGGATTCATGTTCTTCATCATATTCATACAACAGTACAAATTAGAGAAGTGGGGAGAGGAAAAAAATACTACAAGTGTTTAAAAACTGTCTTCAAATTATTATTATTAACATTACTAATAAGACTAATAAGAGGCTTTAAAAAGAAGAATTTTGATATCCACCTGGTAGCTCTAAATCACAAAACCTCAAGGCATCTGCATTTTGAGCAGTTTCCCACAGTTTGTAAGGGTCATGTAAAGCATTGCTGTATATTTTGCACACAAAAAGGTTGTGAGTTCACTGGTACAGATATGTCACATGCTACATGTCATCACCTGTATTATCAGCAACGTCCTGAACAGCAGCACAACCCCAAATATCTACTGCAGACAGTACTCACAAGCATCTGAGAGATAAACAGAGTTGTAGACCAAATGACTGCTCATTCCCCTTCCATCCAAATCACCCATTTCTCTCCCAAATGCTCCTCTTTTAGCACCTACATAGCTGAAATTTGTTTCTTCTCTCTTTCCACACCATGGCAATGGTGCTGTGTGTTAAAAAGTTGCCAGTGCAACTGGCTAAGTGCTAAACCTCATTGCCAAGCAGGACTTCCTCCAGCTTACCCCAGCAGGACAATAATATTAGCTTTATGTTTGGGAAAAATTGCCATACTTAGAAGCAACCCAGTGAACTCTGTGTCTCAAGGGAATTCACAAAACATACTCCCAATATTTTGCAACCCAATATTAAAAAAAGGCAAAATATTTTTTTGCACAAAGTTGACATTTGCTCATGTCAACTATTTCTGTGAGGTTTGATGTCTATCCTCCATTGATCTGCAGAAAGCTTTTGCATGACAAATTCTTTCCAAGAGCAAATAAATACTGAATTTGTGGAAGGCAAGAGTTAAATAATATGTATATGGTGAAGTGTATATATATGTGTGTGTGTATACAAATAGATAGATATGTAGTACATACATATACCTCTATTTCATTGTGTGAGGTAAGAGCAACCCTCCAAGACATAATCAAGGCTACAAGTAAAATAATTTGAATGAAATCATGGTTCTTCAATACAAAAAATAAGTTACACAGCTTCTTTCATATTAGGACACTAGAGGAGTCTCTGAAACAACAAAATTCCACTGCCATCTCACAGGGAAATACCAAGAAAAGACTGGAGCTCAAATTCCCTTCTTCACAGCACACCAAGAGCTGTGAGTAGGTACCACCACATTGCACAAGTTCAGGACTGAGAATGGGCACAGAGCCTTGAAAAAATCCTGTACAACAGATCCAGCACCACACAAGAGAAGATCTGTAAGGAACCTTTAACTCCCATCTCCTACGACTTCTGAGGTAAACGATTAATCGGCAATGGAAAATCCTGGGCTAAACTAATGGGAGCAATGGAAAGAAAAATTCTTGTCATCATCATCATCTTCCTAACCACACACACATCACTTGCAGGCACACCCAGTTCAAAACCCCAAGCCATTATTTCTAATCCTGTATGCTCATCACACAGGAAAAATAAAAACCACCTTAAGAGTGTAAAAGCCCTTAAAGAGTAAAAAAGAAAATGATTTCTTGTACAGATGAAAAGTAACTCAGACAGTACAACAAAGGAGCTGTTCTTACCTTGGCACTTGCCAAAAACCCCAGAGATATGGCTACTCTGGCTCGCAGGTCAGGCCTGTCTTTGGGCCACACATAGGCCAGCATTGCTCTGATGATCTTCTTGGCATCTACCTCTTTCAGCTGTTGGAAAGAACAAACAGAGGCATTGCATTATAAAGAGACCTTGGGAAGCAAAATAACAGTACAAATAAGAAAGAATTTGATACACTTGGATCACTTGTGTATTTGATTTGAAAGGAAACAGACACTTCACAACGTTTGACGCCAGGACAGCCTATTACAACTTCAAGCTCTATGTTTTTAGGTTTATATTCATGACATGATGTTAAAGCAGATGAGTTGTTCTTAACTCAGGTGTCCTCCAGAGGACAGGTTTAGCTGGATGTAATGGGAACACAGAAAGCCACAAATCACCATACTGAAATACTTCTCTTCTACATTTGAAAAATTTCTACATTCTTCATTTTCGCATTTGAAATACTTCACAGAACAAATAAAATGACCCTTCTTTTCTCCTCTCCAGATTTCTGTACAAAATGCAAGGGCTTGGTACTTCTTTTTTTTTTTGAAAGATGTTTTCAAGTAGCTTAGAAACAATATGAGAGAAATGCAAAAAAATTTAATAAAATAATGAAGGAACAAAAAAGAAAACTAAGGCAAAGAGGAAGTCTGAAAGTCTACAGTAAACCTAAGGAGTTTGAAGCACATTCCCTGAGGCTGAGTAATCTTAGGCTTCTGGAGGCAGATGGCCACACGTTGGCTTAGCAGATTACATCAATTACACCAATTTTGACTTCTTCAAATGGGTTCTTCTGCAAACCTCAAATTTTGCTCTAAATAAGAGCACAATCCAGTTAATAAGCCATCTGGAAAAAATATTAAGCTTTTTGGTTGGGATTTATTTTAAGTTTTGCTTTGGGATTGTTTTGCTGTTCTTGTGTTTGGTTGTTGAGTTTTTTTACAGAAACACAGATGGATAGATGTCTATAGCACTGACACTTAAGACATATTCCACCAAACTCCCAAGCTAAATTATCTGCAGCCTAAACCATGCTGTAACACACAGCACAAGTACCAACAACTCCTTTTTCTGGGTTGGCTCCCCTGAGGTTAACTTGAAAGACATGAGGGTTATCTAAAACTGAAGGGAGGGCAGCAACGGCAGCTAATCTCTCCATTTCAGGCAATATTTTGTAGTCTGGAGGAGGGAGGAAACAAAAAGTTGGTGCACACCTTTTAAAGATGACTCTTCATGACAGAGGTCAGTAGAAAAAAGGTTTACAATGTATTTGAATGTTTCCCTGACTAGACTGTGCCTTTTCAGTGCTCCGTCCTCAACTTTGAGGGTAAACCAAATTAGAACAGCAATTCTCTGTTAAGGCCCAGGGCGAATAAGCAAGAAAGGAGAGGTCTGTTAAAAGGTAAAATTGCTGAGGCAACCAGGGAAGCCAATCCTCTAAATGCAAGCTTTTAAAAGCACCAGGAAATTCATCTCAGTGTCTCTAGTCACAGCTTCAAAGAAAACCAAAGGGGATGAGAGGTGGCACTTTGTCAACAATTGCAAATGTATTGGAGCATTACACAGGATAAGCACAATTCAAACAACTTTTAAAACATGGACATGTGGAAGATTTGTAAGTGAAGAGAGGATGCAGAAATGCTTCTGTTATATCCTACTCACTCAGGAGACGGAGGTATCTTTCCATTTGAGCCAAGGATATGCATAAAAAGCAGTTCAAACATTTGGGAAATATCTTTGATCACCACACACAGGTTTAAAGGAAGTTAAAAAAACTGGTATCACTAACACAAAAGATCCTGGTGCAATCAGAGCAGTTCTGTATGTTGCTATTGGCTAGTCAGACTTCGCACAGAAAAGCTATTAAAAGGAACAAAATACACTGGCTGCAAACAAGGAATCTATTTCCTTTTTTCACGGCTCTGAACAGTGACAGAAATAAATCCATTTAGAAAAAAGTCACAAGGCAGCCAGGCAGTTGCCAAAGGCCTTGCAAAGGAACAAGAAGCAATATCAAAGGATGCAAAATGCACACATATTACATCAAAGTTTACCATGAAATAGATGTTCCTGTTGTACAGAAACATGAGTTAAAAATTGTTTAAATATGCAAGTGGCAACATTAAGAATTCAAATGAGCAATCTGCTCAATGGACTCAGGCCCTTTTCTGATTCTCTGAGGTACATAAAAAGGTTAAGAGATGCATTTATTTTACCTCCTTTTAAATGGCAGTAATGTTTTACATTTTCATTCAAGGTCTGTTTCTACAGGGATGGAAGGAAAAGCATTATAAATCTAATATAGCAAAGAAGAAGAGTACTTTCCTCTTGCTGAATGCAGCATGTTTTTAAAACACACTACCAAATACTGAAGACTATTGGCAAAGGAATAAGCATTGCCATGTTCCTGGCCCTCTCCCCATCCTATCCAGTTTCTGGACCTTTTAAAATACCTAAAGAGGAGAAAAAAAAGAAAGCCGTGATTCCTCTTCACAATCTCCAAGGTTATTGAGCACTGCAAAGCATTCACTGGGCTGACCCTGTCACTTAGGGGATGAAGCCTATGCCAGGATGATGAGCTATCAGAAGCATGATGGAAGAAAATGGTAGGTTGACTTGCATTTAAGCTGTCATTGCTGATGAAGACAAAAGACCCAGTTCTGTGTGCTCACTCAGGAAGCTGTAACATCCCCTTTATTGTACTAGCACGAGCTGTCTTGCATCTGCACAAGGTTATTCTCCAAACCACTAACAGTTTGCTTCCTCCCCTGCTTTCTCCTCTCTTTGCAGCCCTCAATTGTACCAGCACAGCCCATTTCTCTCACCACCTCTGGAGCACAAGATACACCTTGATGAACTGATTCAGTTTAGGGAAGTGGCAGAAAACTGTTCAGGTGTTTGTTGCAGGGTTTTGTCTCAGTACAGTCAGATAAATCTACAAATTCAGTAGCATGAGGAAAAAAAAGCAAGGCTGAGAACAGGATTTTCTTTTTGTTAGAGCATTTGGATTGCTTCAGTCCATGATGTGCAGCTTGCTGGGGGGGAAGCAGCAGGAGCTGTTTGGGAAAGGAGAGCTGTTCCCACCATTTGGGCATGCTATTTTTCACCTCCATCACTTCCCACTGGCTTCCTGGCTGACCATACTGTGACTTCAGGAGCAAAACCCCAAGGAGAGGAAGGAGGCAGGATTCTTACTTCCATTGCTCTATCAGCTTCAATAAATATCAAACCAGCACCTTGAATTTTCTTCCAAACTTTGGGACAAAAAGTACTGAGTCTTCTGTCTTCAAACTCCCTCCACAGAAGGCAAGTGATGACTAAAGATTAATGAGTGAAATGGTGGCAGGTAAAGTCTAATTATCAGGGCTCCATCCTGACCATCAGTCTTTCCATAAAAACTAAATCTGCTTAGCAAGAGGTCCATGCTACAGTCTTCATTCCTGTCTATTCTGTGTACAAAAAACTAATACACAAAAAACCTCCAAAGCTGGTAAAGAACACTACTGGTTTCGTTTTCAGTACCCAGCACATCACCTACTGCTGCAAGTAGAAGTTATTTGGTAAAAAACCAGATGTGTAAGCTGCTCTCCTAGTTACATGTGAGATGAAGGTAACGTGACCTTCACTCTGTCTTCATCCTTAGTATTCAGCTCTGAAGTTGCTATAAAAGGGGCAATTTAAAACATCACTCCCAAAGTCAGTTTCAGAATGAACAGGCTGGCTTGTGAGGAAAAAAAACCCAAAAAACAACCCCGGGAAAAGAGAAAGGTATAATATAGCTGACATGTATCTCCCCTGCAGTTCTCCTAAAAGCATAATCCTAGGGGAAAAAAATGTAGTAAATGGGGTGCTGGTACTTTTACACAGTGAATACAAGTGCATGGACACATAAAACACAAGAATTGCACTTGGAACATCAGATTTCCTTCCCTCCGTGTTTCCTGGGAACCTCCTGGCTTTTGCACCCAATCTTATTCTGAGGTGTTTTTGCACTCTTCATGCATTCCACCTGTTTTATGGCTAGTTCTTGCTGTTTTCTCTTGGACAATCCTAACATCATCTCGACTTGCTGTTGGAGCCAGTTCAGAATAGGGCCATGAAGCTGATAAGAGGACTGGAGCACCTTCCCTATACGGAGACAGGCTGAGAAAGTTGGGGCTGTTCAGCCTGGAGAAGAGAAGGTTGTGTGGAAACCTCATAGCAACCTTCCACTATCTCCTTACATACCATCATTGTTACTTTAATGTGTCCTTCCTGAATATAAATACAGTCAAAATTTATCAGCTGCATTAACATTAAATTCAATAAAAAGACACAGTTTAAGTACTTCTCTCCCCTCCCATTTTGAGTGTGATTTTACTGACTGATGCACTAACAAACTGATTTCTACTATCCTTAATGTCAAGTCACAGGGAAGTACCAGTCACAAACAAGATGAGCAAACAACAATAAATTACAGTGGAACATACTTTTTAAAGAATCAAAAGATTCAAACTTCAAATACAAACTTCAAAAAATTCAAACTTCAGCAGAAGAACCTAATGTAACACAGGGCAATTTCAAAGGGGTCTGTAACACTAAAATTTTATTTTTAGTAAACCAAATTTAGCCCTTCAACACAGTTATTACAAACATTTGGTGATCTAAGAGCTATCAAGTCTACACAGACAATTAACCAATAGCTACACCACTACAGTATTCACATATCCACTGACACAGCTTTGCACAAATTGCTGCTTGAGGTCTTACGGTTTTGGGGCTATTTTTCTGGAAAGCTGACAGCATTTTTAATTTAACAAGCACTAGGAATTAAGCAGTGTTTTACCCCTTGCTTTGGATCTGTGTGAAGGCCTCCACCTGCATGGCCATGCCAACACATTCTCTTCTCCATCAGTCGCCATCCCAGCAGAATCTGTGTGAGAATGAAGAGTCAGTTTGCAAGAACCTCAGGAAAGAGGCATGTAAAAGCCACCAGAAAAAAGAACTACTGGCCTCTT